AGGCTTTAAACACGTCATCACCTTGAAAGAGGCCAAAAAGGTTCTGTTTGAAGGTTGAGAAAAACTTTGGATAGATGAAAGTAGTTAACTCAGCAGCCTTCGCGATTATGGGAACTTACAAAAATGTGAAGATCAAGATCAGCTCTTAGGAAGGGGGTGTAAATATAATTGTAACTACTATAGATGACTTTGACTTTATCCTTAGCTTAAATTTTATCACAAATGCGTAGGCCATTCCATTTTCTACATCTAGTTGCTTGATGTTTTTTAGAGGACAACCACATGTCGTACTAGCTACAATAGTACCTAAAAGTGAAAAAAAGGTTATACCAGTTATTCAATTCAAGAAGGGGATTAAAAGATGATAACAAAGTCAAACCTCTGGCAAAAGGGCTGTATCGATGGTTCCCTCAGAGCTAACGAAGTTAAGGAAGCAACTTGATGAGTTGATACAAGTGAGATTTATTCAACTTTCAAAAGCACCTTTTAGGGCATTAGTACTATTCTAAAAAAAGTAAGATAGAAGTTTACGATTCTGCATTGACTATCAAGCTTTGAGCAAGGTCACAGTATAAAACAAATATCCTATTCTTCTTATAGCAGATTTGTTTGACCAGAAAAGTCATGTAAAGTATTTCTCCAAATTAGATCTTAAGTCTAACTATCTTCAAGTTAGAATTGTTGATGGGAATGAACCAAGAACCACTCGTGTCACATGGTATGGTGCATTTAAATATCTTTTTATGCCTTTCGACTAATTAATATTCCCACCACATTTTGTACATTGATGAATCAAGATTTTCATGACTACTTGGACAAGTTTGTGGTAATTTACTTGAATGACATTGTAGAATACAATTGAACACTAAAAGAGCATCAAAACATTTTTGAAAGGTGTTTAAAAGGCTATAAGACAACCAATTGTCCATGAAGAGAGAAAAATGCACTTTTACATAAACTTAATTCAATTTCTAAGCCATATCATTGAGCAAGGTCACATCTGGATTGACATGCAGAAGGTGAAGGCCATTAAAAAATGGGTGACGCTTAAGAATACGATTGAACTTCACTAATTCTTGGGACTAGCCAATTACTATTAGAGATTTGTATAAAGCTATTCCAAAAGGATGGTGGTACTCACGAAACTACTAAAAAAGGGAACAGGTGGAGTTGAACACCATATTGCCTAACAACATTTGAAGGCCTAAAAGAGGTAATGATAATAGACCCTATTTTAGCCTTCTTAGACATTGAAAAGCCTTTTGAAATATAGGCAGATGAGTCAAACTTTGCTCTTGAAAGAGTATTATTGCAAGAAGGACACCTAGTTGCATTAAGAGCTAAAAAGTAAACGTAGTCGAAAGAAAATACACAACACAGGAGAAAAACTACTAGCAACGATTCATTGCCTATGCGTATGGTGACACTATTTGCTAAAATCTCAATTCATGGTTAAGACTGGCAACATTGTAGTAAGCCACTTTCTCACATAGCCAAAACTTACAGCTAAGCAAGCGAAATGGTAGGTGCTCTTCGCTGAGTTTAATATCTCCTTTGAGCATTAAGTCAGAAAGACCAATCGTGTAGTATACGCCTTAGCAGAAAAGCCAAGTTCACAGCTCTTAGGGTGATCACACTAATGATAGCCAACAAAGTGACCTCAAATATCTGTAATCTCATTAAAGAAAACTTGCATTGAGATCCTCAAGCAATCACCATTATGAAGTTGGTAGAAAGTTAAAAGTTGAAATACTTTTGAGTGAAAAATGGACTTGTACTAACAAAAGGACCACGTGTATTTGTTCCAAGAGTAAGAGAGTCAAGGCAGAAGTTGATGCGAAAATGTCACGACACCCCTTAGGCAGGACATCTAGGTTGGCAGCAAACCATTGCACTATTAAAACAAGGTTACTATTAGTCTCATATGCAGTAAGATGCGATGGATTGTACGAAGACATACCTTATTTGCCAACAAGACAAAGTGGATAGATAAAGATCAACAAGAATGCTCGAACTCTACCAGTATCGACCACACCATGGGAAAGTATTTCTCTAGACTTCATAATAGGACTTCTTAAAGTAGGAGATATGACAATGATCTTGGTAGTGGCAGACCGTTTCTCTAAGTAGGCGACATTCATCTTGGTGCAAAAGTTTGGTTTCGCAGAAGAAATGGATTATACAATTTTTAAACATGTGGAAACATCTTGAGATGTTCCTAAAAGTATTATTAGTGACAGGTATCCAAGGTTCACTAGTTTCTTTTAGAATGACCTTTTCAAGCTATTAGGGTCAAAACTTAACATATCTTCATGTTATCACTTACAAATAGATGGCCAAACATAACGCTTCAATATGTTGCTAAAAGAATATTTATGACACTTTGTATGAGCGAACTAGCAAAATTGACACAACTTGCTAAATGTGGCTTAACTATGTTTCTATTTATAGAGAAGCTCAGCCATTAATAAAACCCCTTTCAAACTCATCATTAGACAACAGCCTAGACTTCCTTATACCTTAGTGGAATCATATAATGAGAAGAGTATTCGAGCATTCAACTTTGCTAAGGAATAGAGATAAAACACTGAAACCGTCAAAGCTTATAGAAAGCCTCTAATTGCATGAAAAAGTGTGCAGATAAAGGTCGAAAGTAGCAACACTTTAAGGTGAGAGACCTAGCGCTAGTGAAATTGGTACCCGAACAACTTTGATTCTTAAAGAAAAGGAATCAAAGACTAATGGGGAAGTATGAAAATCTAGTATCGATTATGGCCAAGGTGGGAAAGACTTCTTGTAGGATTAATCTGCCCAAATTGATGAAGGTACACCTTGTGTTTCACATCACCAACCTAAAGCCAATCCATGTAGATCTAGTAGATGCCAACAAGAGTCAAGCCACGAAAGTTGGCATCAACACTAAGCCACCATCATAGCGCAAAATGAAAAAAACTCTAACAAGGAAGATGATGATTATCAATCGACAACCAACACAAGAATATCTGGTGAGATGGAAAAATTTAGGGATAGATGAAATCACATAGGAGAAAGAAGTCAATCTCTGCTCCTTTAAGCAGGAGATAGAAAAATTCTAAGCCAACTAGTCAATGAAGACGTCAACAGATTGAGTAAGGGAAGATGTCATGAGCCAACCTTGTATAGGGAAGATGTCACGAGCCAACCTTGTATAGGCTATGACAAGGTAAGATTGAGTCTTTTGTACGTCTAAAGGAGATGTCTCCCTTTCAAATATTGTAATGGCACTTAGTGACATCTTTAAAAATATTTGTATTGAGATCCTTTAGGAAAGGAATGTTCTTATCTCAAACATTGTAATGGCTATTAGTGAAATACTTGTAAAAGTTCGTAAACTCTTTATAAAGGGTAAGCAATTGACGAGTGTTGGATTGTCTCACTAGTTCAGGTACATCTATGGCTAATCATCTAAGGCTGCCTTATGATATAATGATGGCGCGTCCTTCTCTTAGTCCCTTTGTACTTATTTGCAATATTAATAAAACGTTTTCTTTTATATGATACCAGTGGTTACATATATGGTATTCAGTATACCCTTTTGATTTTTAATATTGCTTTCCATGACTTAACGTATAGTTATTATTCATGTTGTCTAGATATAATCGAGCAATTGACTATTTTGAGCAGAAGCATTCATTCGAGCGCTACATGGACTATCGTGTACTTAAGCAAAAATGACGTAGTCCATGATAAAAAGGCTTTCACATCACATCGATGGCAAACATTTTCTATATTCTTTTTATTTTATCCACTTTTTTCTTTTTCTTATATATCTTTATTATTCATTCACTTCTGGTGGTTAAATGTATCCATCTACTTCTGATGGTTAAATGAATCCATCCACTTTCAGTGATTTAATGCGTTTATCCATTTTCGGTGATTAAATTTATCCATCCACTTTTGTTGGTATTCTTATTAGTAGAATAGTGATTAATGTAACTACCATGATTGCAATTATTTTCCTCTTCCATGCACATAACCATAAGTATTAAATGATGTCACATTCACTTCAAGAAATTGATGGAGTTTATGATTTTTCATTAGTAGCTCGTTATTTTGCTTAACTACAAAAATACATGAAATCCAAAACAAAATATATTTTCATATACCTAAAGTATAAGCATTTTTCACTTGTTACAAAATAGATATCATACAAAATCAGATATCATACAAATTCATTTTCATATGTTCAATTCAAAAATGTTTTATGTAAAATTTCATAGGTTTAAAAACAAATATACTGAGTATAATCATATTTGAAATTCAAAATAAAGAAATCATGTTTAGAGCAAATCATACTCCAATACTAGAACAAAGAGATCATATACAATTATATCTATTTGCATGCTCAATTAAAATTAATAAATTAAGGGATAAATTATGATACATGCTACATGATAGAAATTCACATTCTAATTTAATAAATCAAGGGACAAAATATAATATATACTATATAATAGCAAATTTGTTTTCCAAAGGGATAAAATATAATATATATTATATGATAGCAAATTCACATTAAGGTTGATTTTCAAGGAATGAAACACCAAAGAGATATTAAGTCACTTACCTAATTTTCAAGTTCTGAAATATAACTTGAAAGAATAACCATGAGAGAAAATAATTAGAGCAAGTAAAAAGATTTTATTCAAGTATGTACTTATAAATAAAATGAGAAGTTAGGCTAACAACCCCTTCAATCTTAATCCAATTTAATTTATATCAAAATTTAAATATATGTAACCAAATATAAGATATCGAATTAGATTACACTTCTTATGTATAACCTATTACGCTATTTGACTTATATAAACTTTTTATATCACAACATAATAGACATTTATACATATATTTAAAACACTTATTAAGTTTTAATATAATTTAAAATTTTATTTATGTATTTAATTGAATTTAATTAAATTCTTGTTTTCATAGGGGCAAGATAATAGATTTTTATTCATCCGAGAAAAGCTGTGTGGACAATTTCTAGTGCGTGACACAGGTGGATGACCACAAGGAATTTAATAATTAGTAATCATAAAGTAACTAGGCCGGTCACCCAATACCTCAAGAAGCCAAGGAGAAAGTCGCCTCGCTGTCCTGTTGCCTGTAACAGAAAGAAAGCGGGAGGGCAGAAAATGGAGGATGGCTCCGTACAAAAATCCCTGAAATGGCTGGTAGATCTGTCAAAAGGAACCATCAGCCACGAGCTGGAGGCACTGACCCTGGAAGGACTGCAGAGTCTCCAGGGCCAAAAGGGTTTCATACGCTGTAATTTCGTTGTACCGAGTCGTGCATCAGTAAATAAATCTGGTTCTTCTTTGATTACATAGATCTGTTTATCCATTTTAGCAAAGGCAGATGGAATAATTGTGTAACTTATCTATAGGATGCAGATGGGAATTGGCACGTTGGAGCCATGGCCACGTTGATTGACGACGTTGGAGCTGCCGCTATATACTCCGTCGCTGACCATGTCAAAGCCTCCCTTGATTTCAGCATTTCAATCTATTCAACGGCCAAGATTCAAGTTACTTGTCTTATATGCTAAAGCTTAAATCTCTCTTGTTTTCTTTTTGTTATGGTTTAAAAGTAGGATAAGTTGTAATGGCAGGAAGAAGTGGAGATAGAGGCAAAGGTTACAGGGGACAAGGGAAAGCTTGCACACGTGGTGGTGGAGGTCAGAAGGAAAGAAAACAGAGAGCTAATCGCTTTGGGTAAACAATGGATGGCCTCAAGTAAAGATAGTGCAAAGGCAGCCCAAGGGAGTAAGCTTTGAGACTGATGCCTTCCAATTCTCCTAGTCAAGTACACTCGACATCTGATGCCAGTTCTTATATGTATTGGTTTTTCAGCTTCTGCTCATTTGAAGGCATTCAAATAGGAAAACAACATAGGACAAAGCCAGTTGAGCTGCATTATTTATTTATTTTTTGGTTGAAATTGATGAATAATTTAACGATATTTGTCTATTAACTTAAATCATTCAAAATAGAAAGACAGTTGCTAGATTTCACATAAGAAAATTAGGTGCATGTCTATGTTTTATATAATCTAATGAAGGCTATCTTAATTATTGATTCTAATTTGC